GTTGGACCGAGACTGCTAGTAGAGAAATAGAATGGTTACATTTTGATAAAAACAAGAACAAAATCTTGCCATCCAAGAGCTCCTGTGTGAAGCCAGTTTCCAGAGGAGTAGGTGAGACCTCTGCAGAAAGCTCAGCTGCTGCATCTCAAAGTCTGGGGTGGCATCTTCAGGCAAAGCTGACCTTCTCCTGCCCATGCCCCACAGTGGCTGGATGCACTTTGCTCAAAACCCACACACTTGTGCCAGGATGGTGCTGAGTTCAAGTTATTCCACCCTGCACCTTAAGGAGGTTTGGTAACCTGAATAAAGCATGCAGTTAACCAAAATGAGGTGGCTTCTGATTTAGGGGAGGCTGCAGCTGGCCAGCTCTGCTGTTCAATCTGCCTGCAAAATGCTACCTGCACCTACCCAGACATCAGATAACTCAAGTGCTTCTGGCAGCCAAAGCTGAAAAGTGGAATGATTATAGCTGGACCTTTATCTGCAAGAAAAACCTGCAGAGATACTTCATGAGCATAATACATAAAATTATCTGAAGAGCTGTATAGTAACATTTAAAAACAAAACAAGATTTGAGGTTTTTTAGATACTAAGGCTAATTTATAGCTTAATCATTTAATCATCAGTCTAGTATAACCCACTATAACTTTGTTTTTGTTTGAAGTGCAGCTAGTATTTATATTTTGGACTTTATAGGATATTTTTAATTAACTTAATGAATTTTCACTGTGTATCTTTATTTTTTATCTCCAGTTACTTGATACTGCAAGTAAAAGTACAAGTTTTCCTTTCCTTCTACCACAGGCTAATAAGCTATTTGAGGGTTTCTTAGAAGCCAGTACTCCAGAGCAAATTAATAAACAATAGGAAGAAGTAATTCATTATTTATAGTAACTACATGGGTAGAAAAATTAGCCCTTAGCCAGATGTTTTGAATAGTTTAATTGCAAAGCCTTTTTTAGTATTTAAAACCAATATTTGACACTTACTTTAGTTTATCTTATCTTTAGTGTCTGATTCTTAAAAAGAATTTTTAATTGCAAATAGTTTCCATTTTTATAAGATAGAGACTTTGCCTAGCTTTGAATAATAATTCCATATATTTCAGTCTTTTTCTTTTCAGGTACAGAAAAAATAAGATAAATTGAAAGAGGTTATTTTGGTTTCATAGAGACCTGTTTTCTAGGGTATATTTTAAAATGTGTATTAAGGGGCTGTGCAGAACTCTAGGTGGGAATGCTGGTTTCATCTTCCTTTGAAAGAGAAAAAACATTGAGGGACCTGTTGCTACAGAGGAAATGTGTAGACATTTAGCTCCCTTGAACAGAGTTAGTTTTTGTGATTATTCCCACATAGCTGAGTGTTACAATATTTCGGTGGTAAAATCTCAGTGATTCTAAAGTAAATGGCAAATTATCACTAGTAGAGGACTCAGATGATTCGTCTTGGTTTAAAGTGTCTTAAAACCAAGCCAGTTTTGAAAGTGTGGCAGTTAAACAGTCCTCAGAGAACATTTGGTGTGTTGCTATTACGCCTTTTTTTTTTTTTTTTTTTTAACAGCCCTAAGGCCTAGAAACCGACCCTTTAATTTGTCCACATTTTCCATAGCAAATAATTTATTAAGGAAGGGTTTGTAGAATAAGAGCATGTCATGAAAACCGCACTGACACTTGTCTTGCAAAAATTTCACCAGAGACTTTTCTAACCAGTGGTGACAGAGTTGTAAAACCAGCAGGGAACATCCACATCAGCTGTTGCCAGCTGCCTACTGCAGAACAGGCTGGTCTGACACATCTGAAGCCTGAGAAATAGCAGAGATCCTCCAGAGTCACTCCTTTGCCCATAGGTTATCATGTTCTTCATCCTTTGCCTGCAGTTTTGAGATCCCTTTTTTTAGTGGAGCTGCCTTAGACCACAGAAGTCCCCTTGTGCAGGTGCTAATATTGGATATTCACTCTACATCTGAATGGTGATAGGTGCCAGACCAACTCTTGCTAATAATTGTAAGGTTTTTAAAGAAATGGTCACTAATGGAGAAGCAGGGATTTTTAGAAAAGAAGGATTAGGATATTTGTATGCAAAAGGTCCAGCTTCTCTCAAAAGGATGCCTGAGTCATTGCCCTGGGGTCCCAAATTCTGCACACACATTCATAATATTTTAAACCTTTTTTGTACAGTTGTCTTGTTGTATCACTGTGTGGTTTTCTGTGAAGTTGGTGAAGTAAAACAGAACTGAATTATGGTAAATCTGAGAATTCTGAGACATAAAATTCTTGGCAGTCAAGGCTAATGCTGCTGTGCAAACTTCTGTGCTTGATGGTCACATAGAATAGGTATATTCCAGAAGTCCATTTATCTCAGACATTGAAATTTAATTTTCAAGGCTTTGGGGTTAGTGATATGCAGCACTCATACAGTAAATTTGATGCATTGCTACATCTGCTTTATGACATCCACCCACACATAAATATATATCAAAGACATGAAGTACAAGTAAGACTCAAAAAGTTACAGTGACTTGGTTCATTCAGTAAAGCAGTTGGCTTAGATATTAGCTCACATCTCAGAACTATGGTGCAGATTGGGTTATGCCAACAAGTGGAGCCATAATCCATTTTTCCAAGATGGATATGGCTGCACATTGCCATAAAAAGGAGAATTGATGCTGAATGCTTGCTGTCTTCACAACCATCTGTTAGGATGCAATGTTTTGGTCATTATGGTAAAATGAAAAATTAATTAAACTGTCATAAAAAGTAACCCCTGTTACCCAGTTCACATAATTTTATGTGTCTGCAAGAGTTGCTCACCCCTTTCTTTCTCTGGGTGACATACTAGTACAGTAAGCATAAGTATGTAAGATGTAGAACTGTGTAAATTTAGAAAAATGCCTTTAGCTTTGGTCTTTCCCAAAGGTATATCAGTTACCCCACCAGAATCTCAGTAAGCATAAAATTAGGCTGTGTATGTAACAAAATAAACATAACCAAAACCAGAAAGTCAGTGTTCATCTACCACCAGAGGTCTTACATGCAGTCTGCAGCACAAGTTTTATTTACACAGAACCTCTCTGTGTCTCACTTTTCAGAGCTTTAGTGTTTTTCTAAACTTCATGTTTGTGGTCTCAGAGGTTATTATGAGAATGAGAAAAAGATGATGTTTGTCTCTTTTCTCTTGCATCACTAAGCTGTAGCAAATCCCCAGGACACCCAGCTTTAGTTTCATGATCAGTGAATATCAACCACTGCTCATCTTTCAAACATAACTTGTAAATCCCATGGGATTTAATCAGGCCAAACAACACATGTGCACTGTAGTTCCCTGAAGGACATGGGGATATGAACTCACTGAGAAGTTTTAGAGAAATATTCCTTTTAAATATATCAGTTCTTCAAAAGCAGAGCTTTTGGTACAAGTGTGATTTTCCTTTGGAAAGCTTTTCAAGTTCAAGGTACAATTTCTGGGAAAAAAAATCAGAATAAAATCCCATGCCCAGACTCTTTTGAAGTTCGCTTGCCAGCAACCAGTTACATGCCCAGAAGAGCCCGTGGGCAGGGAGATTTGTTCCTGTTTCCCTTCAGCCAAAAACCATTATACAGTAGCCAAAGGATAAGAAAAGAGGCCAGACTTGCCTCTGTCTGGGAAAGTCCACAGGCAGCCTTGTATTCCACATGGCAATTCCACATTCTTCTCACCTCTTCTCAGGAACTTCTTTTTCTCTCTTATGTATACTAGAAGTAATGCAGTATAGGATTCTAAAGCCCAGGATTATCCAGGGTCAACTAAGTCCTTTTCAGATTTCTGAAAAGGATTTCTGGTTTCATTAGTTTTGACATTTGTCTGCAAACTTCTTAACGTTTAGAAATAGTGAAGGTTCTCACTATATTACCTTTTTCCTGCTCGTCTGACTAAATAATAGCTTCCTTTTAAAATAAGGACATTTGGAAAAGCATTAACGTGAGAGAAATATTTGCATTTTATATTCCTGGGGGAGAAAAGATAATAAGGTGCAATATTTTAAAGGAACTCAGCATAATTACTGTTTAGTTTTTATACTTGTTAATCACAGTCACCTGACACTCTGAAGTCTTGCTCCCAAATAGCAAGAAACCAAAAATAAAAGAGAAAGCCTGATTATGAATTCCTAGGTCAGTGATCTATGAGACCTTGGTAAGTGACCTGCAAAACTGTCCTAAACACTGTTTTCTGGGGCAAATATGACAAAGCTTCTAAAGTTTTTCTCAACAAACACCAAGGCTCCTGCTAATCCACTGACCAAAAAGTAGTCTTCCAGCTGATATGACAATGTTGGCATTGTATCACAAAGGTTCCATATTGTTGTGTCTTTATTGCAAGAGTTTCACATCTCCTTGATGTTTCTCATGGACAGCTCCTCTAAGCACTGGCTCTTCCTTCTTCTCACAGTAGCCAACTGACTCCAATTCCCTCTCAACCAACCAAGCCACTCTTTTATAGCACTCTTCTTCTCATTTGCTACAGCTGTGGCCTGTTAAAGTCAGGCCTGTTCCTAATTGCTAATAATTGGCTCAGCTGCAACTCCTTAGGCATGAGATTACTTTCTATACTACCTTTATTTTCTTATATTCTATCACCCTACACAACAAAGCTGAGTGTCAAAATAAATGTGGACTGATGGTCCTAACCACCCCCTGACCTTTTTTTGGGCAGAGCAGCATCCTGTACAACCTTTACTGTGGGCTGCAGGGCGCTGCTATTTTCTCCCTATGGGGAGGTGGTGCCCAGCCCCTTAGAGCTGATCTTTCCAGGGAAATTCTCTGCCCTTTGCTCCATTAACATCAGCTGTTCCTAATTCGGTGACGGTTTGCTCCTTTGCTCTGACTGACGTGTTGGGGTGTGTGGTGGTGGCTGGCTGAGGTAGAGGGTGTTTTTGCCTGGGGTATGAGGTGGTGGCTGGCTGAGGCAGAGGGTGGTTTTGCTGTGTATTAACCTCTCTCCCCATTTCCCCTCTCCCTGGGCAGCGTCCTTGACAGTGCGAGTCGGCTGGATGAAGAGCACAAGCTGATCGCCAGGTACGCAGCAAGGCTGGCAGCAGAAACTTCTTCATCAGTAAGTGTTTTAATTAAAAGAAGGTACTTTCCTTCTGTTGTGTTCCAGGGGCTTGGCAAGATCAGGGAAATTATATCTGACAGTCTAATGATTAATGGATTATTTTTCCCTGTTCTTTTCATCAGAGGCTGTTATGCTTTAATAATAACACTTTTATGCAGTCTATTGAATCCAAAGAATCCACATACTAATGCATATAATCTATATACTAATGCAGTGGCATTTAAATAATTGCATCAAAGGGAGTCTGACATCTTGAACTCAGGAAAGACTATAAAATATTGTCTGCACTAGCTTTGGTTAAAGGTTAATGATTTACTGCTTTGGGAAAATGTGGTGGTGAATCCATTTTACTCTCTAGCTTGAATATCACAGCCACTAGGGCCTTAAGTACTAAGGATATTAAAGAATGTTCTTCAGCAGGATGACTGTAATGACCCCCTGCATTAGCCCTGGCTCCCATTTTCATTTCAGAGCAATGATTATTCTGCTCTCTATGTCCAAAGATAGAAGGTGATGACAGGCTAAAACCTCACTAACTGCATTCAGGAACAAGAGAGAATGAAGCAGGAACCTTATCAAAGTATATAAAATCTTAAATGGTACATAAAAGGTCAGCCTAGCTACTTTTTTTTCGATCTCAGACCATTTGATAGAACAAGGGGCCATGAATGATGGTTAAGTGAAAAGCAGCAGGTCTGGAGCACCCAGAAACATTTTCACACTGAGATTTTCACACTGTGGGATCAATTGAAAGGGTGAAATTGGGCACCACACATCTTGTAAAGACACTGAGTCACATTCAGACCACATGAAGACAGTCTGCCGCCCTGTGCAGATGCTGTCACGGAGATTTCACACTACCTGCAGCTGCCTGGGAGGAGAGGGATGCCTCTGTTCTGCCAGTCCAGCCCAAATCAATCCTTTCCAGACATGTGACACAGTGTTTCAAATTTAAGGTAACCTGTAGATAACAGTCTTATTCCTGAAAGACAGTAATTCTTTATGGGAACATGATTCCCCAGTAATAATGTCTCTGGTTAAGAATCAGTTGACATCAGTTCCATATAACATGTGTCCTTGATGTAGGGGAAAACAGTATAAACAGAGCTCACTTGAAGGAAAATCCTGAATTTCTCATTGCCATCCGTCTTTGCTCTTTGAACAAAAAAGACAGAAGGAAGAGGGGAGGTTTTTATAAAGAGAAATCTTTCCAAGCAAAAGACTGATGCCCAGTAGGGGCAGTGGAAATTTTTAAAGCTTTGGTGATAGTCATTCTGGATTTTAAGGAACTAAATATATTGGTAACAGTGGGCATTCAGGATAAAGATCCTGCTTCCTCCCGTATGAGTGATGGCATCCACCAGCGTGTATCAGTTCTTTATGCGCTGTTCTGCTTCCCTGTGGTTGATGTGTTAATGGGAAACCGTGTCCATAGCAGAAAAGATAGTATGTGGTTATGGGGGAAACATACTGTCCTTTTCCCACAGACAGTCCTAACTTTTGTTAGGCTATTGAAATGTATCTTCATCCTTTTTGAGGGTTCACCTCCTGGCAGAGGGGATGCCTGGCATCACATAAAATAACACTCCAGAGTTACACTTCACAGGCCTTTTTGTGGTGAGGAGCCCTCATATCACAGCAGTAACTCAGCAGAGTATTTTTAAATACCTGATTCTTTCAGGTTGGAGTTAGAAATAAATGGGTATCTTTCATAGTTGTGAAACTTTTAAATGTCCTGCTCTGTGTTGTCATTGTTACAATACTGAAATACAAGAGTGTGAACAAGGAAAACAGTGATTGATAATTGCTGATGAACATGCAAAAAGGGCATAGTCCAATAAAGCTGTAGTGAGCATTGCCTAGTTTGGTGAGGGACAAATTCTCATATAATTTTATTGGTGGAAAAAAAGATTTTGCTGTACATGAAGGACTGTGGAAAGAGATTTCCAAAAGTATCATGAGAGCAGATTGGAAAGCTTGGCCAAATGGGCCACACAGACTGAAAACTGAGCACTGCTTTCAAACTGAAAGTAAAACCGAGCTTTCAAGAGCGCGAAGCATCGCTGCACTGGAAACACATCCCATCCTTTCTGGAGGCAGACACTGCTTTTTGCTCCAGTGTGCTCCTCTTGTCTGTAGCATCAGTATCAAGAGCCACATTACAGCAACTGCGTGCAGCAGTGTCATTGCCTTTTATGATTGGCTCAGAGGAAGCTGCGTGAAGAAGCAGTGACTGACAGGATGGTAAACACTGAGTCTTATTTACTCTAGCACTTACTCTGCTTTTACTAGCAATGGTTCCATACTGGTAAGAGCACAACATGAATGTTCTTTTTTTAGTCTAGGCAAGCTTGGTACTGCACTTTCTGTAAGCCAATGTCACAGAACAGATCTGTGTTGAACTCGTGGTGCTTGCTGGCTATTCCTCTTTCAATGCAGCCTTCTCTGTTTTACAACAGCAGCCGAGTCAGCAGAGAGGGGCATCAGATATCTCCTTCACCATTGATGCAAACAAGCAACAAAGGCAGCTGATTGCAGAGCTCGAAAATAAAAACCGGTAAGGGTCCACTAAGTTCCTGGTTTTCTTCAGCTCCATATGTTACATATGTGTTTGTTTCTTAGCATTTTTACCACCTGTACAATGTGCTTATACAGGCACATATATTTCCCCCTACAACAAAAAAAGAGCACAAAAAGGCCCATACAATAGGATAAAGGCTCTGAAATCCATAGCCACCCCATGTTTTCAGAAGTGTAATGTCCAATGACATGATATAATCATGGATGCTTTACTGTTTGCAGCTGCTGTTTGTTAAGAGTTTAAAAAAAAGTCTGTCCTGTTTCAAAACCGGATTAACTTCCAGTTGGATTCTCAGTAGCACTATAACATGAGATGATAAAAGGATCAGTCACGCTTGTAATGTTATGCTCCCCTGCCTTTATTCGGGAAAAAGATGATTAAAGCTCTTCAGAGCACAGTCTGCATGGGAGAGGTTAGCAGGAAGATTAGCAGCAAGTTAGGCTGCTGATCAAATGAGACAGGAGGTGCGGATGTGACCGAGAATGAGAGAGAGTGTCCAGGAGAAATAGGCCAGCCGGCCCAAAAAAGGAGTGATGCCTGTTTGTTAACAGCAGAGAACCTGGCCCTGGGTACCAGACTGCCTGATGTCATGAAATGTATGGCAGCAGAGCCCTGCTTTTAGTGCTGGACCATAAAACAGAGGCTAGCCCAGACCAGATGGTTTCCTATTCCAAACTCTACACTGCCTTCTGTCACCGTGTAATGAGCACCACCAGCTCCAGTCTTGATTTGCCTTTCATACTTCGAGGCTGCCTCCTGACCGTCTGCTTCCAGCACATTGTGAAGAAGAGACAAAATTCACAAAGGTTTCAACCTTCTGCTGTGAAGCTTTGTATTAGCCTTTTGACAGCACTCCAGGGCTCACAAGCCAGTCGTAACAAGTCTTGTTAAAGTGCTTTTCTGTGATTGTCAACTGCTCTCACATCTCTGCTTCCATTCAAAGTATTTTAAAGGGCTAAATATTTTCTCTGATACCCCACAATGTCTAGAAAGGTTACTTCAATTTTTTTAATTTCATGAGGTGCTGGAAATGTTCATGGTGAAGAATTATAAGGGAGCAGTTCTGTCAAGCACGGAGCTATTTTATGTCTACCTGTGTTTTTTTGGGGAGTTTTGAAGAATGATTTCCCTTTATGACAAAATCCTAAGAGTTTATTCAGAAAATATCCAGAAAATATCCCATTGCTGAGGACTTCTTTGGTTGGCTGCAAACAAGTCATTTTACTTACATCTTCGCTGATTTAAAGCTAAATACAGTCATGCTTTTTCACCTCTTGCAATGTCCAGGGAGCTGCTTTTCTGGAAAATTAATGACTTATGGTCTGCTTATTCTCCTCCCTAAGAGAAATCCTGCAGGAGATCCAGAGGCTGCGACTTGAGCACGAGCAAGCGTCTCAGCCCACACCAGAGAAGGCCCAGCAAAATCCCACTCTCCTTGCAGAGCTCCGGCTCCTGAGGTAAGCTCACAGGAGTAAAACCTCTGGCCTTGGCAGGGGCCAGCCAGTCGTTCTCAGCAAGAGAAGAAATAAAAGATAAGCCCTGGTTTATGATTTTGGAGGTTATTTTAAGTAAGTCAGCCAATATGTATTTTTTATCAATTTTTGGTGCAGCCTGTTGTCCTAGAAGTAATTAAGCTTATGCTTTAAACTGTGTGCATGAGAAATCTCACGTGTTACTCCTCTACATGAAATTGAGCATATGCATTAGGATTTGCAGAATTAGGGCCTTAGGTCATTTGGAACAGGTCCCTCCAGCCTGGTCCAAATGCCATTAATTATATGGGGAAAAATGTTCAGAACAAATGCCTTTACAAAGATTTCTAGTTTATGCTAAAGAAAATAAAGAACTACATGAAAATACAGGGCAGAATTAGATGTTAATCTTTGGAAATTTTCCCCATGTGTTCAACTCTAAGGAGAGGTCAGTTCTCTTCGTGGTGCCAAACCAGGCTGCAGAATTATCTCCTTGTCACGTGGGGGGTGAAGAGTAATGTCATCTGCAGCTGCTGAAGATTTAGAGGATCCTTCCTGCAGTCATCCCACCAAGCTAAAAACATTAATATGGATGTGACTGCATCTTAGTTGCAATACTCTACATGAATTTACTAATTTCCATATATATCACATTAAAAAAGTACAATTGTCATTGGCCCAAATCCATAGGCTCCCTGGAAGTCCTGAAGTTCGTGTTGTGAGAGCCAGACAGAGAATCCAATAAGAACTATTCAAAATGCTCTATATGAATAGAAAAGAGAGTATAAGCACTTTCTTTCCAGTGAAACAATGCTAGATTGCTCTGCCCCCTGACTAATGAACATTTTTTGCCACTTAGCCGCTCCTCACACAACTAATATTTTAGAGGTCCGATGCATATCCAAAGGAAATTAATAAGAAACTCTGCTAATTTTTTTTCTTTACAAATACTTGATAGTTTTATTATGGAGTTTTCCACACAAAAATATTTTTCTGATTCACAAATCATTACTTTGGCTTTCCAATCTAAATACAAATTAGCTTCTTAATTTCTATGGGGGATTTTAATGTGTAATTACATCTAGAGTTCTACAGGCAAGTGACATTGTGTGAGACATATAGAATGCCTGTCATGAAAATGTGTACACTGTAAAATATACCAATAGTGTAACTCTTGTCCATCAAACTGAAGGTCCATCTTCAACAGGTTTAGGAAATCAACTTTCTATATAGTTGACTAATAAAATTCATTATACTTTTTAAAAAAAGGAATTATTGTGCAGTGTTAGCAGGCTGACTACTTAGCTTTTCCCTCTTTTCAATTTTGATCCACATATTAAAGCATAATACCCTTATTTTAATTTCTTGATATGCAATGTCCCTAGGGCACTGATACTGAATTCCTCACCTCTACCTTCCCTGATTTAATATGCAGTACGAGAATCAGAAAATAACTTGTAATCTCTGGGTCTGAACTACTTCGCATTCCTTCTGAAATGTTCACCATTTGAAAGGCAAAAGTCTTGATTTTGGATTTACTGGGGAATTTTAACACCACCTCAAATTCCTAGACACTTAAGATGGCACAAGGCTTTTCTTATGTGTAAAACAGCAGGACTCAGGGTAGCAGCTCTGATTTATGTCTGTTACCCTGCTCATTTTTCAGGCTTGAAGCACTTAGGGCTGTAGAGCAATTTAGTTTATGTTGTATTAGGAAATGTTGGAATCTGTAAGCCATGTTGTGGGTACCTGTCCCACCATCTTTCTCAAGCTGCTGTAGTGTGGCACTCAGTGAAATGAGTCCTGAACACAGCATTCCTTCACATTACCAGTACTGTCTTGGAGACAGGTAGGAAAACCCCTTACTTGCAAGAATTTGCTCTGGAGTACAGCAGGAAAAAAACCTCAGAGGACAGTGCACACTGCTTAGCTCCTCTCTCCCTGTGGAATGAATCTAAAACCAGCAGAGCTCTGTACTAGGACCTGCCACTTTGAATTACACGGACCTTATTTTTGTTAAATAATAAACTCTGCTGCCTTTGTACAGTTCATAGCATTTCCAGCCATTACCTGTCTGGAAAAGAAAAGCCAACCAGGCATTTTGTAGCAGGAAATAGATCAATCCTTCAGAAGAGTAAATGCAACCTGGCAGTGTTACTATATGATCCTATTATAAAGGTGAGGGATAGCACACATGAGCAGTCCTGTAGGAATCAATGTTGTCTGTGTCTGTAGTTGCTCACTTACAGTGAAGGCTCTAAACCAGAGTTTCATATTGCCCTAAATACAGGAAATCTACTTAAGTCTCGTTGGTTCCAGTGCTCTTCCATTTAGGATTAAATTGTCATATTTTGTAGGTAGTACAAATCTAACAACATAGTGTTTGTATGTTATTTGCAATGCAGTAGAATATAAAATATATGCATCTTTTTCAGTAGTTAATTGTATGTATCGTATAATGTTAATTATATCGTAACTTCCAGGAGGCAACAATTTTATTTTGTTTTTAGGTATAGACCTCCCACATTTTAGTGGTTTAACCTGTGCAAGTGCTGATCCCCCATCCTGGAGCTGTGCAGAATCAAAGCTGTTCAGATTTATGGGGGCACAGAGAGACTGTCACACTTGGAGTGGCTCAGTATTCACTGTCACACAGCCAGCACTGGACTCTGAGTGCCGAGAGCTAACTTCAAGCAGTTATATCTGTACTATGTGATAGTCTTCCTCTTGTTTTCAGGAAAAAAAAAAATAGAAACAAAAGCAGATGACTGTGGGGTTTTGTCTGAATTTCTGAACTCTCTTAGCTTCTTTCATATCTCACTGTGTTCAGTGCCCCTGCTGTAATTTCCTGTCCTTCAGGGCATGGCTTTAATTTCTCCTGACAGCTAGTGAGGTTATTGGCTAGAGAGTTCCAAAGCTAAAATTGCCAGGCATCTGCACAAGGGACTATAACACAAGCTTGTTTGAACCTCATTTGTTCTTTGAAGAAGGGTCTGTGGCAGTGTCTGTCTTTTCCCTAATCACTATTCAGTCCTGTGAGGATTCCCAGTGAGAGGGAGCTCCCTTGCCTTCATGGAGCCACATTTCTAAACCCTGTGCTGAATTCACACTGTGTGTTTGCTTTCCTGTGCTCTGTAGGCATCTGTCCCCATAGTAGGGCTGGCAGAATGATGCAGTTAAAAGCTGCTGCTGCTGCTGTGAGGGGTAAGCCCTGATCAGGTCTCCTTGTTTCTCAGGCAGAGGAAGGATGAGCTGGAACAGAGGATGTCTGCACTCCAGGAAAGCCGAAGGGAGCTGATGGTGCAGCTGGAAGGCCTCATGAAACTGCTGAAGGTAAGAGCTGCACCTGCTACTGCCAAGGAAAACACCAAGTGAGAGAGGAGAGGGAGAATATGAAACCACAGAATTCTGCAGAACCTGACTGTTTCTACCCACTGTGAGACTGTGTTTCCCTCCCTTCTTATGTTTTGCCTTGGTCTTTTAATTCAGGGGTTTCAGATGATGCTCAGATAATGTCCTTCCTGTAGCAGTACTGCATCATTATTGTCATCTACTGCTAAAAGGAGTAAGAAAAGGAAAAGGAACCAACACATAAAACAAGTTAACTGTTAGCTGTAAGGAAAAAACCTCAGTACTGTATACTACTATTCACTGCAGCTGACAGTATAGAGTCATTAGGCCTTTAACTTTGCACTTAAGCTCAAGTTTCCTTAATTTATTCAGTTGCTGGTTTTGTCAGATGGGTCATTTAACGGCCACATCTACCTCTCTCAGCTCAGAGGTGCTTTCCCTAGAACACTAGTTTCATTTTCAGGGATGCAGAAGCAGACCCTTGTTAAAGAGATGAAACATGTCTCAACTAGGATCTCAGTTAAGAACCAAGATATCAAAAAACATGTGCATTTTTAAACAGAGGCTAGGGTGAGATGGAATATGTGTTTTTATTTGCAGCCTTATTTTACCTGATGTACTTCAGGACAGATGATGCCACAAATTCATATTGCAAGAAAGCTCCCCGAGTATCACAGGAGACTCTTTAGTTGTTGTCTATGGCAGCTCAAATGAGTTCATGGAAATTCAGTGCAACTTGGGTCAAATATGGCTCAGATAAGAGCAGAAGCAATTTCACTGAAACCCATTTAGCAACATGCCTCCATTTAGATCCATTTGCATCAAAGGATGAGTTTGTCACCTTTTGTTGCTTGCCCCTCCTCAGACACAAGCTTTGCAGCCACAATGCACAAATTGGTGGCACCTCAGCAGCCCACTGAAGAGCCAGCAGATTTTTGGGGGCTGGAACTAGGCAGGATACTTTTTGTTCTACCCATGAAATGCTGCAGTGTCACAACCAGCAGTGAAGGCTGCCTGCTGTCAGTCACTATCTGGACAAAGAAAATTTGGGGTAGGAAATGACAGCACCTTTCTGCACACTTTGCACTGTTCTGGTGTTTCAAAGTGTGCAGAGGTGGGACATAACCTGGTCTCATATCTTCAACTATCTTGATTGCACCTTTAACCCTGTGCTCCAAATTTGGCTTTGTTTTTTGTTCTTCACTTACATGCTGGCTCATCTCATGTGCTGATCCTCTTTTTCTTTAGGAAGAAGAATTGAAACAGGTAGCAAGTTAACTGCACTTTGAATGCCTCACTAACTCCTAAATGTGATTGTGTTCCTGTGATTTGTGTTCCTGCTTTTGCTTGAGAAGTGTGTGTGTGTTCTTTTGACCAAAATTAATATTTTGCACTTCTTTCCCACATGTGTCTTGGAGCAATTTTCACAATGTGCTCTAGAAAGTGAGTCATGGCTACAAGGAATCTTTTCCTCACTCCTCTAAATTAAAACATGTAAGGTATAAAAATCACACCTCAAATGTAGTGAAACCAATCTAGAATATGAATTCAACAGATAACATTTTGAAATGTAATGAGAAACTTTTTACTTTCAAGAAAAGCATAACTGAGCTTAAATTAGACGAGGGTAATAAGTTTGAAAGCTCATTTTATCCAAAAAGTCAGGGCATAGCGTGCACACCTTTAAAAGTTGGCCTTGATGCTAACAGTCCCATGAGTCTTCAGGGAAATAAATGTTTCCTGCAATTAGGCCTGCAACCTAGATATAAAAGAGGAAGTATTTACATTAATAATAGTAAATTTTAGAAGATTTAATTGTTTCTGAGCTTTTCAGTATTGTAATGGATCTTGGAAATATATTAGGCTTTAAAAAAAAGGCACTTCTCAGATAGCAGTCTGATTTATGAGTTCAGTAAAAGTGTTTCATTTTAACAAAAGGCACTTTCTCCTGCTTTCATCAGCAGAAGTGCAGTCACAAGTCTGATGTGTTCTGTCTGTGATACAGCATCCAGAGTTTGTAGGTAATGCTCACCTTTGTAAAACCCAACATTTGGCTAATTTTTGTAGAGTGGCACTCAAAAAAATAAATCTGCCCAAATACCACCTCCATGTAAGGGATGTCTTTTTTTATTCTGAAGATCTGCTCACGAAAGAGAAGCCTCCAGTGTGACAGGAGTTATCATGTAAAATGTTCACTGGACAGTGTAAGTGAAAGCACACTTTCAGGCTGCTATGAGGTATTTTTATGGCTTTTTTTTTTTCAAGAGTAATAGCCTCACTGAATACCAGGTGATGATGCTAAAGAATTACTGTCACCATTTCCATTTAATGATCCCCATTATGCTGTGCCATTTCATGATCTGTTGAGAGAAACAGGATTAAATTAATTTCTGGAGGAATTCAATTGGAATGAGCAGCCTGGCAATTCATCTAATGCTTATGAATTATCTATTTCTCCATTGCCCTTCCTTCAGAAAGGATAATGAGTTCTTCACATCCCTGTCGTTTGATGAGGCTGTGTGATTTCCCCATATGTCATCCCAGTTCAGTCCCAGCAGAGGGAGCAATGGGCTAAAACTCCTGTAAAGCCAGTTTTCATTTCAAGCATTTTATGCTAAGCATGCGTGACACTTGATAGTGGGGAAATTTTCCTGTCTAGCAAGACTTAACTTAAAAGCTGTAGCAATTTGACTAAGGATGGTGAATTAAATAAAATACCTGAAAATTTTCCTGGGAGGCAGGAGAACACTGATAGCTGCAACCAAGTACTACACAAAAGCTGAAGCCACCCAAATATCCACAGTGGCTGTGGTAGCTCCCCTTTCAGCCTGCTTTAGTACATAACTGGTAGAGCTGTCAAGGTTTGAGAGCAATTCAGGGTTTGTCTTCTCTGCTGACCTTATCAAGAAGTTATGACTGGCTGTTACAGCAGATTTCAGACCATTATGTCCAGCCTTTGAAAACCACAATTCTCCTGATAACCACTAAGCAGGAATCCAATCCTAATACCACTTCATTGCCACAAACCTGGGCTAAGGTGGATCTAAATGAGTGAAATAGATTGAGTTTTCACCTCTCTGAAATCAGGCATTCCCTAATATCCTCCTATTTTAACTTGCTGCTCATCAGTTCCATCTCATACTGCCCAAAGAGTATAAAAAGTGAGGAGTTTTTTTCCTAGACAAGGAACTCTGAATGCTTCATCTTCCTGTGCTTCCCAAACATTTTGTGTTTATCATAAACACAAGATTTCAGTCATAGCTGCAGAGCAGACAGAGGGTAAGCACTGGGTGTGCAGCAGTTTCCACATCTCTTAAGGGAAAATTCCAGCCCAGAAGTACAGGCGGGCATCTGTTATTTTTAGTAAATAAAATGCCTATTCTGAGATTCATTCCTGAATATGACTTGATGGCAGGAAGCAAATTTTGTCCATTTTTTTCCTCATCTTTCTCTAAAAGTTCCCACTGTTGTTGGTGTTCTCAAAACAGAGATCAAAGGCAAAAGGGAGCTAAGGAAAAAGGCAGAGGGAAAATGGCACTTGTCTTTCAGAGAGCTGAGAACCAAAAATTCTTCTGCAGATGTGTTTCAGTGAGGATGAAATGTGCTCTGTCAGGGCATGAAAGAAGAAAGCTGTAGATCCTGGGTGCCCTGCCTGATGTGCAGGGGTTATGGCTAACAAGGACCTTGAAGCATCTCCAGGTTGCTCTGGGCCCTTCTTCTGGAGGACTAAATATCTCCATTTCTGCTAGTATAGATGATTCTAGAAACAGGAGAGCATCTGGCCTTTATACATTCAATTTGCCTTTTCCATCTATCATGTAAATGTTCCAAAACCAATAATTAAAGAAATTATAAGTATTAAATCCTCTATTCTTCCTTCAGTAATGTGCTTATTTCTCATAAAACTAATTTACCCTTGATGGCTTTCAGGTGATAATGTCTTTTAGAAAGGGGTGATAGGATAAAAGAACAAATAGCTTAGTATTATGATACATTATTTATGGTCCAGGTGAGGAATTTATAAAAGTCTCAAGGACAATGCTGCACTCAACCTGCAAGGGCCTGCTCTTGTCTTTCTTAGAACATATTTGCCAAACATAATCAGAGCTGCAGTGGCAATCAATACCAGAGTCAAAATAAATACCATGGGAAGAGTTAAGAAATCCTCCTGTATTTTTAAAATAAGGCCAAGATAAGGGAAACACCACCTCTCCAGCCACTTTTGACTGACAACAACCAGGAGCTTTAAAAGCACTCAAGCCATCTCCATCCTTGGCATCTGCTAAACACTGGGTTTCAAAAGCTATGTGCAGTTAGGTGTGGGTTCCAGCATTAGTTTGTTCTTACATGGATACACATTCCCAGGACTTTGAAACAGAGGGTGAGAAGAGTGCTGTGTCTCTTGGTATCATTCACCTAGCTGCATTAGTAAAAATTGCAATTTTTTTAAAGTCTGCTTGAATTTCAGCTAAGTGATCCTAACTGTGAGGTGCTAACAGCATGACATTTATATGACTGGTGTTAAAACATTTTCACTTCCAGCAGCTGAACCCATGGCAGGCATTTATATTGCCCTATCCCCACAGTGTTTTGGGAGTGTCTGAGTGTGTGGAGCAGATAATTTAATAGTGGCTTAAATAGTTCTCTAGCTCCAAATAAAAAGAAGAAATGTGTGTTATTTATTGAGAGTGTCAGACTTTATGTGACTGGGAGGTTGCACGTACCATGAACTTGTCCTGCAGGGGGATGGAGGGCAGGGCTGTGCTGCAAGGGGCTGCTCCAGTCCCTTGGCCAGGCTGAAAGCCAGGCTGGTGCCAGCAGCTTTCCCTGCTCCCAGCCAGAATGGGTTACAGCTTAGCAGACAAGCATGTGAACTGGGGGAGTGAGAGGGGAGAGGGCAGAGAGCTCTTCAGTGTGGTCTTTATTAACTTGGATTTTTTTTTAATTTAGCTGCCTGACATTTTCCCATGCTTGGAGGAAGTCAGACCTTGACTCATATTTTCCTCCTTACTGTTTCTCTACACAGAAGCCTCGCTGTCAACTAACAACTGACTTCGGTTTATTTCTTCTAGCCAAATTAACATTCCCCAACTGATGTACAAGCAGCACGATGCCCTTAAGCTGAGGGATGGGTGGCCAGGAGAGCAGGCAGGCCCTTGCAAAGCCCCTGACTAACACCTGGATTGTTTTGCAGACGCAGGGGGCGGGCTCCCCGCGCTCCTCGCCCAGCCACACCATCAGCCGGCCCATCCCCATGCCCATCAGGTCTGCCTCTGCCTGCTCCACCCCGACCCACGCGCCTCAGGACTCTCTGACCGGGGTGGGAGGAGATGTGCAGGAAGCCTTTGCACAAAGTAAGTCTCGTTAACAGCTTGTCCGAGGCACCTGGAGACTGAAGAATCATTATTTCTTGTGGTTTTACTGACTTAATGTACTTGAGCTTTTGAGTTGCATGCAATGAAACAATACAAAACAAAAAATGTCTGTGACGACTGCTTTTTGCAATTGAAAATCAACTTTGTCAGCCATCAAAGCAAGCAGGTAGGCAGAAACTGGACAATGATGGCAATTAATAGAGCTTGAGGTAAGAAGGAATTTTGATTCCTTCTTGTCACTGCTCTGTTAACCAGAAAAATTGCTATTGACCTCAGCAGGCATTGTCAGTCTGTTTTAAAAAAGATTTTGCTGGAAGTAAATTATAAAATCATAGGATTAGTTCAGGTGGAAAGGGCTTTTGTGAGTCACTGTGTCCTTCTGCCCCAAGAAAGAGGGCTTCAAAGTGAGATCAAACCATTCAGGACATTTACCAGCTGAGTTCTGGATGGCTCCTGTCACTCATTTTCTCTGTTGCAGTGTTTCACCATCCTTATTGTGTAAATTCCTTGTCCTTCTATCTGGGTGGAACATCCCTTGATGCAATTTGTGACTGTTGTCCCTTGTCTTTTTACCTTGGGCCTGAGAAGGGTCCAGTTGGACTAGACAGGGATCAAGTCTAAAAGTCTAGGTGAACCCTTTCTTTGCATTTCCAGAAAACTGTCATCACCTTCCCACTTTTTTTTCAAGTAAGAACAAATTTTAAACTGTTTTGAATTTCTAAGGCCGTAAATTAAATTATTATGTTGAATAACAGAAAGTGAGTAGTCTGTGTTATCTAAATGAAGAAATACTCCTAATTTTTTAATCTGCTCTCTCTAAAATATTTGAATATTTGCATTTCTATGATCCAAGTAAGTTTTTTTCCCCTCTTTACCCAGCACAAATTAAACATAAGTTTAAATGTTAGCTCAGAAGTTCCTCTGCCACAGTGGAGGCATGCTTCTTCCCAGGAACCCAGTTCAGCCCTCTCAGGCACCCTTCCCCTTGATTTTCCTGTGAATTGTGTCTTTGTGTGTGTTTTTTGACAAGGTTGAATCTGTAATGCAATCGAGAACTTTGTCCTATAGCACTGGTCGGTCAATTCAGGTATTGAACATAGGCATAAGTCCTGGTCCCAACATAACAGGTTACTGCTAATCTCATTTTCTGTGGCAAAAGAAAAACAGGCAATATGTTTTCCTTTTTTTCTGCTATGAGAAAAATCAAGACAGGCAAAAATATGGAGCCCTAGCTCCTATGCTGTTATGGGACAGCTTCTTTTAGAGTTAAGAGTAAGATAAATAATATTATTTATAACATATAAATAATAAAATATCCATAAACAATGCTAAGTCTGCCTCAGGCAAATGCATTTTAAGTGTAAAAACGTGTTCTGTTCAAGATCAAAAGCAATATAAGAAGTTATGTGATCACATTTTAAAACTGCTGCCTTTGATAAATACCTAGGTTTCTGTCATTATTTACTGCAAGCTCTAGATGGGAAGGTCAAAGCCAAAGAACTTGAAGCCAGCATTCTGTCACATCTTGACATATGACTTTGTGAGGGGGTTGGGCTGAGGTTTTGTGGCTCCATTCTCTGCTGCACCAACAGAGATCTGCACACATAATGCAGACAAGCCGTGTCTTTAACATTAGAAAATGTTAAAGAACATTTTCTCTTCATTTTTTCCATTTCTCTTTCACAGCATTTGCAATAGTTCAGAGGTATAAATTTGGGAAGACTTTAGAGAGGGAGTGGCTGTCTGTGTGTGTAAGAGAGAGTTTAACTACTATAATTTACATTCCAGTAACTATTTACTAATGGATGCATTAAAAAAAGCCTCTTCAGGATTTGAGAAACTTTTTAAAATGTATTGGTTTGCATTCAGTAAGTATTAAAAAATCTACAGTAGCCAATTCCTGTAAATAATTGCATTTGGAAGACTAGTGATTCTGTGGAATATATTGATTATTCAGCTATTCAACAATAGTATCTGTGTTTGGGATTTGAGGGAGTTAAGCACATGTTACCCACAGACCCCTCCTAAAGAAGGAGTATTCCATGCAGCTCCCAAGAATCTCTCATGATTGATGGTTAAGGGAATATTGCCAGGTTCAGCAGGGAAACACTTCTGGATGCATTATTAGAAAGAGTTTAAAAGCAGCCTGGGGCTGTTTAGAGAAGCAGTAGTGCTTCCTTTATTAAAAAAAAACCGAGGGGGGCAGGGGAGAGGGAGAGAGAGAGGCAGTAAATTATAGAATATACAAGAAAGTCCTTGAGCTACAGGAGAGGCTGAGAGGGAGCAAAGAAGAGAAATCCATATAGTCTTCATGAAGGATGAGGTCAAGTGTGTTTCTTCAGCATTTGCCATAATTATCTGGCAAATATCTGGCAATAATGGTGTCATTAAACTGAGCTGTGGGAACTTGGAGAAAACACTTCATTTCTTCCCTCCTCCCCCACAGGCACTGTAAATGAGTTCACGCTGGATTTAATCTTCCAGGCCTGGTCTGCTGGTGTCACCACACAAATGCAAGCTTGATGGCAATGAATAATCTCCACATATCTGGCATTGTGGTTAAATGAAGCATGAGGATTGGCTTCTGCTTTTGCATACAGCATAAGTAAATGAGCCCATTCTGCAGAGAACTCTTCTGCACGTGCCCTTCACAAGGACTTTGATACCCTGAATTATCACAGTGACAGCTTTCAGAGGGGTCACCACTGCTTTCAACAGTAAAACATATGTCATGTGAATAATGGTAACTTGTGCTTTGTCCATCCCTTGCTTCAGGTGCGAGACGAAACTTAAGAAATGATTTGCTGGTGGCAGCAGATTCAATCACCAACACCATGTCTTCTTTGGTAAAAGAACTAAATTCTGGTGAGTGAGGCATGCAAGGGGGAATAGTTGCCACAGTGACATCTCACATTTGTATGAAAAAAGTGGGAGGTAGGAAGATATGTATCTTCAAAAATTTTTATGCTTTTGTTAAAAAAAATCCCTAAGTAACAGCTTTTGGAACTCAGCAGTTCTCAAAGCCATGGATGTAGAGGTGCAGCTGGATACAGTGAAAAATTTGTCTGTGATTCCACATGGAGTGAGATTTCACTCTTTAGAAATTAGATTTAGCATGGATCATACAGGACCTGTTGTAAGATGCAGTCTGTAGTATTACCATTAAAATATCCTACCTAATAACTGAGATAAGCAAAAGTTTCAGTATTTAGTCCCACCACACGAAGAAAATTGTAAATTTTGCTAATAGAAGGGGATTAATATGCTTTTAATCACTACATGGAGATGGTGTTCCTGGTTGGGAAGGCAAAGAAATGCTTAAAGAAATAGGCAAGTGTACTTTTGTGGAAGTTAAATGGGACTTTTTGCTTCCCAGAAGTGGGCAGCGAGACAGAGAGCAATGTGGATTCGGAGTTTGGCCGGACTCATTTCGATGATCTGGTTCCATCCCCGACATCTGAGAAGGCTTTCCTGGCCCAGATCCACGCCCGCAAGCCGGGATACATCCACAGCGCTGCTGCCACCGGCTCCATCCGCAGTGACATGTGGGTACCTGCCCGGCACCTCCTCCTCATCTCTTCCTTCCTCCTCTGAAAACAGTGCAGCACACAGGAGTTCCTCTCCCTCTCAATTATTTGGGTTAAAAAAAAAAGAAAAAAGCATAAATCCAAGTGAGGACTGCTTTGTGGTTGCATAGTAGTGGGCTCTGTAAACAATGAAGCCTGGAACTTAGGACTCCCTCAGGAGTGAGCTGTCTCACATCCAGTCTCGAACGCTGAGGCAGCATGGAGGCTGTGGGACAGCTGTTTTCCCAAACATGCCCTGCGGTCCTATTCCCTGTTTATCCAGACTGAGGGACCTGTTGGGGCTCACTGGAAAAGGAGAAATGTGTAAATGGAAAAGACAAAATGCTTTTCATTGACCATCTCAATTGATGAACAAACAGATTGATTTTTACAATCTGATCCTTCCGTTTAAAGACAATAGGCATCTTTCTAGTTATTTTTAGTTCAGCCTCTTCGTATGAAGTTGTTGAGAACTTTTGTTACTCATTTCCTTAGGGGAATGCCTTCAGCAGAATATGCCCTTTGGTGTACTTCGTGAGAGAGGGAAATAACAGAAGTGTTCTCCACTGCCAGGAAAATACTAACTAGTGGAGCATGTGGTTGGACTAAAAGTATCCCACAGTCCTCATAGATTACAATAAAGGGAAGTTTTATTGACTCTGAATGTCATTCATCTCAGGAGGCTATTTATTAATAATTGTCTTTAGGGTTACAGAAGATGGAGACCCCTATGTCAGAGCAGATGATGAAAATTATGAGAATGACTCTGTCCGCCAGCTGGAGAATGAACTGAAAATGGAGGAGTACCTGAAGCAGAAGCTGCAGGATGAGGCGTACCAGGTGGGAGAAGGACACCAACTGCCCCTGTTTCTCCATCAGTGAGAAAGGATGATGGCCCTCAAGTGCCCAGGGCCATCTAACCAGCCCTGGGCTCTGGGGTGTGATCTCTTCTGGGTTACCAGAGCAGTCACATTCCAAAAGCTGCTGCCGGCCTTACACAGACATACATGCATCCAGCCCATGTGCATATCCAAGAAGACCACATTGCCTGAAGCAGCAGTGATCCATAAGGGTACCAGGGAACCAGGTGGGACAGAGCTGCCTCTGAGCTTGTTCTGTGCCCATGCCCACCAAGTCACTTAGAGCTCATTCCCCACTACCATAATTACTGGTTGGTGGTGTCAAGGTGTCCTGGTATTTCCTTCCCTTGTTTTTTTTCTCCTATAGCAAGAAACATTCGGAAGGATTTCTCCAGTGTGAACTGAAGCTCAGGGCAGTCTGTATTACTGTCATTGTCAGAATCTGGAGGTACAGAAAAGAGTCTGGAATGAATTGTATCCCAGAGAACCAAGTATTCAGCAAGCATCTGATGCAGAGAAGCCTGGGGATTTGTTATTAAACACCTCCCTGAGGAAGTTCTCAAAGGGCATTTGTTTAAGAGTCTGAGCAAAGCAAATATGCCAGGGGGAACTGGAATTCTGTAGATGCCCATATTTGCATCATGGTCTCCACCTCTACCTGATGTTGCAGATTACTGCCATGTTTTCCGTTATTCTGACTTGGAATATCTGAATTTAAAATACATTACTTCTTATAAAGTTAGAAGTAGTGTCAGTAAGAGGGAAAACCTAGTTCAGTTATTTGGGAGCAAAGCTGAAGCAAGCAAAAATAACTTTGTTCCACATGGTTATTGGCTCAAATTTGGACCTTGCTTCTAAAGAACATATTAAATGGGGTACAAAAACCACATTAGACATGTTCTGAGAGGCCAGATGTCTGCCAATGAGGTTCAAAATCACTTTATGGGCAGCAATTCTTTATACTGCTGTTTTCTAGGAGCTAATAAAATCTAGCTTTCTTTTCTGGTAATTTTCCTCTACTGTTCAGTGCTGGTCACTTTGGAGACAATCTGTGTCTGACAGGTTTGTGTTGTAATGAAGATTGGCTGCTCTTTTGGTCTTCTCTTCTGTAAAGCTGCTAGGATATGTTAGTATTGTAAAAGTTTATTGAGTCTTGTCAAAATTTGAGGTAACTTTGAGGCTGACGTGAAGATCTTTTTGTTGTTGCTGTTGAGACCTGCTACATTCCCATGGCAGGTTGCCAAAAGTAATTTCATTGCAGAAGTCTTTAAGGACATGACAAAAGGAGCAGGATTGTTATAGATCATTTACTAAGGCAACAGCAGGTGACTATGGGGAATTATCAGAACTTTTTATCCAAGATAGGAATGGTTAAAAATCACAGCCTTATAGCTTCTGAACAGGATGAACAGCTACTGCTGATGTAATGAAACATAGTTGTCAGTTTAGAGAAGGGGTGCCTAAATAGTCCCAGCTGTCAGGCATCAAATAATAAATGTTACTGCTGGTAAAAATGCTATGTTCTTTAGAAAGAACAACAGACCAGTTTGAGTATATTTGGATTACAGTATGGAAGTGCAATATATGGCAATAGTGTTAAGAGAGTTTCATGAGTTACAATAGGATTTTGTACATGCATAAAATTCAGGATGTATGTGCACTGCAAATAAGGGCAGGAGAAGTTATGCATGTCACTTGATGGCACCGGGTGTTACTCTTGCTTCAGTCAAAATAGTTTTTCTGTTGTTTTCCACCAACATTCCCAGGAAAAAGGGAGGAAATCTTCTCCCTGTTAACATCAGAATAAAACTCCTGAATTTAGGTGAGCCAAGGCTACACACAAGTGAAGGTTATTCCCCATTGTTTTATGTTATTTGTTTCCACCAGGGGACAAACACAGACAAAAAGCCCACCACACACACACCTCCTCCCCTGGCCAAAAAAAGGAAAAGTTTTTTTTTTTGTCAAAAATGTATTCACTGAGGGAACAGAAAGTCCTCATTCTAGACAAGTTCTGCTCAACAGCATTTTTTCAGAAGAAGTTTCATGATGTACTTTACTGTCTGTGAGATTGTCAACTCCTATCAGGCAGTGATTTGACAGTAGTGACTTGTAAGTAGAATCTATTTTTAGTTGATACCACAGCCCCAAAGCATGTAATGGCAATGCGTGAGAAGTCCTTCCCAGTATGGATGATGCCATTTAAAATAGGGAATGGGTTTAAAGGAAGCAAGAAAAGGTATTAAGTTAATAGGGACTGCTAAGATGATTAGGAGCTGGTTGGAGTGTGTCATATATTGACCCTGAGATATGTGCTTTAACATTGGTTGTTCTCTGCAATTTACTGTTTATTTGCGGTATTTCACTCTTCTATCCCTTTTTCTGCTAATATCACTGAGTATCCTAAAAAAGCCACAGCTTACTACTTGGAAAAACAAAGGAAAATTGGAAAATTTCTGTTTAGGGTATCCTGTTGAACAGAGGCCAGGTCAACTATTCTCATTTGCATCAAACCATTGGAATTTATTACAAGCTGTTTTACTGTTTGTACTCACATATACACTGCATTCATCTGGATTGCCAAAGAAAGCCAGAAGCTGTAGCTATCGTAATGCAATTGTCAGCTGAAAAAATCTGCAAGGAGGAACTCCTACTAAGGGTGCAGAATGGTCACCTCAGTAACAATCTGGTAACCATTTTTATGTTATTAAATGTCTCACTTCGTGTAAAATCAGCACATTTAGAAAAACATGTAGATGTAGTGTAGCATGAAAGATGGTTGGCCCAAACCCACTCTTGTTATTTTGTGTCACCTTGTGTCCAAGAAAGATTTTTGTGATGAACTCTAAATTAGTATAAAAAAGCCAAGATACACAGGGAAATCAGGGACATGAAACCTTAGAGGAGGCTTCTTTTTCTCTCTTTTTTTTTTAAGCATGTTGTAAATAACAAGTATCTGTATCAGAAAAAAACCCAAACACATTTAATGCACAAGTGTAAATGCTAACAGCGTGTATCCTCCCACATCTGTTTCCACTTTTGTTCTTGGTGCAGTCTTTTGCTGATATGTTGTTTAAGACAATTTTCACTGGGTTTATTTTCTGGGTCCCTAATTGCTCCCTTTATTTCTAGGCTTGTGCATGGCTTTTTTCAGAATAATACACTGCCTGGCTGCTCACGGGCTTAATTTGTCATCTTCCTGTTTTCTGTCCTTTGTTATCTACAGGTCAGTTTGCAAAGTTGAGTGCAATATTCTTCTCTCTCCTCTCAAGTAAGTATTATTATAATTTAGAAGAAAGTTTGGAATTAATCCCCATAATATACATTTCAGTTGCAATGTATCTTGTGGCACCTGAATGTATGTGGCGATGTTGTTTCTTTCTCCTTTTAACCTGTGTTGGGGTACCTTGGAATCTCTCTGAATCAGTTCTAATTTATGGATCTCTAGTCCTAGTCCCAAGGATTCCTGTTAAGCTGTCACCCTTTTTATGTTTTTCCTTTGTGGACCATCAGAGTGAGAATATGGGCTTTTCTCCCTGGGGATGATGACAAATATATTAACCAGTACAGAGAAGCCTTGTCCAGGAGATAAGGAATCAGATTACGTTTCAAGAGACCTGAGTTTAATTCCATTCAATGCTTTAGTCTTCCTAGGATAACTGAAATAAATAATTTCTTATGAGATCAGAACATCTACTCTAGTGTGTGAAAGAAGACTTACACAAACATTAAAGAAAGCAATCCACCAGCTGCTTAGCCACAGAGGTGCCCTCAGATGAGTTGTGGAAGTTTAAAAAGCCCCAAAAAGTGGAAGGCACTCAGCTACTGGATAGAAGCTGGCAGTTCAGAAATATGGCAAGATCTGTAAATTCCCGGCTGTCCCATTGATTCCTTAGGATTTTAGTTTTTATATTTTTCATATATTTGTAATCCTGCAGTTCTTTAGTGTGTAACTCTAAACTCCATATGGAGCTACTGTCTTCCCATTTTGGTCAGACAAAACAATTCCTCTCTAGGCCTGGGAATCAATGACACCTCACTGCCTCAGGCCCCAAGAGATGTGAACAGAAGTGAGTTGGGGCTGAGCAAACTTGGGGTAAATGACTTCATTACCTGAAGCTGTAATTGGAAAATTAACCCCCAATTTGCAAATCGACCACACTTATAAAAGTGTGAAAACTCATGACCTGTCATCCATTTTTTGGGTATAGTCCTGGGGGGCTTAATCTGCATGAAATGTACCTGAAGGCACTTCAATAAATATAACAGCTTTTTATTCCCTTAGTTTTGCCTGACCTCTGTTTCTAGGTAACCCCAACAAGGCATCACCATATTGAGGGCATGTTTCTTACATGTGCCAGCCTCACAGTTGCAGCAGTGGGGTTACTGCCAAGTTCAGCAATTGTGTTTTTCCTTAGGAAGACAGACTGCATCTATTTTTGTGAAGTAGCCTGTAACTCTGAACATTTGCCCAGGAAATGGGAGACCACACATTTCTTCTTGCCTCATCTGAAGCCATGGACTCTGCATTTCTGGCTCTCCAGGAGAGTGCAGTGCCCAGCTGTGAAGATGGCAGTGAGATAGTGCTGTCCATCCTGCTGAGACTCTAAACCATGGGATAATGGGGATGGAAAGGGAGGAGAAATCAGAATAGGGATCTGATTCTGGTCTGCAGACTGAGCCTCTTCCTCAAAGCCAGAGCTGAAAGCAAGCAGAGGTCAACAATCAAATGGACACTTTAGCTTGGGCAGGGTCATGTTCAGATGAGCAAAACCAGTGAACTGGCCTGTGCCAACTACTCTAACAGGAACTCACATTGTTAGATTTTGTGTGTCATGTTTTATGCTAGACCTCCTCATTTATATGGCAGTTTTGATGGTAAAACTTGACCCTGATTCAAGGGGTTTGTGTCTTCTGATGGCAGTGAAATTTGACTGTTAAAATGTGTACCTTGTGAAAGCAGCTACTAAAGGATATTTCCAAGGCATCTGTCTCAGTGCCTCTTGCAGCTGAGAAGAATAACTGGATGTGAAAAGCAAATAAACTGCAATACCCAGAGTACTATAAACACCAAATAACTGCTCATAAAAATTCTCCTAACATTGCTCCTCGGGTTACATTCATTTTCTCAGTAGTCTTGTTAAAAACATGAGCCATGTAAAGTTCCCTAAACATTTACTGCCGGCAGAATAAGTTTCCTTACTCTGTTTTGGTGCATTTGTCAGTTTTAGATCAGGTCATGTGAAAGGAAAGTAGATATTTCAACAACAATTTGTATGTATAACAATGTATATAGTGGAAATTTTGTATATAAGTGAATATAATTACAATTTGCAATAATAAATTAAAAAAACCCTTTTTAATTAGAATTACAAAACTCCGACAATTCTATATAAGGTTTCCTTTTTTTTTGAGAAGTAATGTTAACATAGTGATGTGGGGAAACATACTCCTCTGGAAGCCTGGCTTTCTTGAAAATCTGTATCCTGTCTCAAATTAGCAGATATCTGAGACTGAGATACTGTCTCATCTCCTGAATGATTTGAAACCTTGTCAAAAAGAAAGATTTTCATAGTGAAATTCTTCGTAGCTCCCAGGGGAGCCCTCTGGCCAATGAGTGTAACATTCCCAGGAGCTAGAAAAGCCCAACCCTGCAGAAACTGGCATCCAAAACTGGTGGACTTGGCACTTCGCCTATATCCACAAGAACAAAATGCATTATGGTACATTATGATAAATACATCTTCACATGGTAAGTGGATCTTCTCAAGATTCACTCTGTTGTGAATATGGAAGTCTGTCATATCTTGTGTATTTTATTTGGTACTTACTTTCACAGCACTGGAAAAATAACTTCAAAATAGTTTATACCACTCATAGTATCTAAAGTGCTTTTGCAGTTTCCATTGGGTTCTTGCTTGAAGCTTAGAAGCTGCATGGAGATTTTTATTTCTAAGCCCTTATTCATTCAATAGTGATACCAATACAGCTGATATGGCCCTAGGTGGCCATAGGAAGTAGAAAGTCAGCAGACTTTCTCACACCAGTATTATGTTTGTGCTTATTAAAAAAAAAAAAAAAAAAAGGGAGAAATTAGATCAGTTTATTGTAGCTCCTTGTGATATTGCTGCTGATGGCCAGCCACAGAGTTTTGTTCATTTCCTCATTCATCTGAAGTTGATGTTATTTGATTGATGATTTTTGCAATCTATTTGCATCTTTAAAAGTGCTATGTACAATTTTCCAGAATTGATTTGAAATAGCATCTAGTATATAACAAATTCCCAAGAGAACAAGTGATTCCAGTAATAGATAGACAATAATTTAATTATGTTTTCAATTTACTTTTTATGTTAAATATACTTGTTTTATTTTTAGTAAAGAAGCAGAGTGAATTTGAGCTTGTTCTCAGCAGGTACTAGGCAGATCTTGACATTAGGTGAAACTCTGATGTTATTTTACCTTTATCCCCTTGATAGCATTCGTTTTTTTGCCAAGGGCAGCCAATGGGAGCAGAAATCCTGCATTTCAGAGACTGGTTGAGAAGTTGTCATTTTCAATTAGTTGCAGTTGACTCATGCAGTGGACATGTCCTCACGAGACCTACAATTTCCTAGATTTTTCTAAAGCTGTGCTTCCTTAGTGCTGGCACACATTTGAATTGCTCATGCCTAATTCATGTATATGCATTATTATAACAGGGGAGAAGGTGTGAAAAGCTAATAGAAATCAGACCTAAGGCATCCACTGAGAGGGAGTGCAGAGAGGAGGCTTTATTGCAGGTTTTGTTCTCAGATTTTGACTGTGATTTTCCCTCTCTTGACAAAATTTAATAATTTCAGTTAAAGATTCAGTTCCATTCCCACTCTCTCAAAACCTTGTAACATGAACTGTTGTGGGATCTGAGGCTTTGGGTGTCTTAGGGAGACATTTTCCATTGCAGAAGTGACTGAATGAGTTCTGTTGGAACAGGTGGATTTTTTTTTTCAAACACTAAGACCCCAAATCCTCTCAAGTGTTTTATATGAATGTATTCTTTAAAAATACCATGTATTCAACTTGACTGTTTTTCCAGGGCAGAATTCGTGTTGAGTAACATTTTCATCTTTTTCTCATCTCTTGCTATTTTTTTTGAACCTCTGTTTTCATGTTTCCCAGCAGAGATTAAGAACACATCAGATGTCAGGTGATAAAACCCAAGGGAGAGTGTGGTCCGTCTAGTACAGTCTTTTTTTGTTTTTTCTTGAGAAAATACATAAAAGCCAGCATTATCTGGACCATTCCATTTGAATATCCATTTGAGGATAACAGCACAGTAATTTTCAAAAATGTCTGCTACATTCACTCAGCTATGTTTTGGTTTTCTTTTTGGTTTATTTTTCTCCCTAAGTCCTCCTCTTCTTAGCATGTAGGTGTAAAAAACACTGTAAAAAAACTGTGACCAAGTTATCAGGGAAGAAGGAGCTTAAATTTGTGAATCCAGTTCTAAAATTACACAAGTGATAAGGATGTTTTTTGAAAAATCACTGAATGGCAAGTAACAGAAAAGAAGCTGTGGACTAAGTAAAAGAAGAGGTCTAGAAACAGTTTTATATCATGAAAAATCATAAGAATCTTAACTTGGAATTAATTTTAGCACTTCCAAAATGTTGCAGTGAATTTAGAGCTCTGAGGTTTATTAGTACTCATTATCTCTTGTAGGAAAATATCTCTATCCCTGTAGAAAAATATCTCTGTCCTGGCTGTGAAACAGAGAGAAGCCTGGGGAGAATTTAGAATAACCCTTCCCACAGTCCACCTAAGGGAAGTAATTTATCCAGAAAATATGAAGCAAACCCAAGTACTTAGCATTGCTGTCAGTGTGTCTTAATGCATCCCATGTTTCACATACCACTCTATTTTACTCTCATGGTTTATAATGGTACCATCATGAAATATGACATGTTCCTATACTTTTGTATATTAGGAAAAACTTTGTCACCAAAAGGGTTGCCAAGCATTGGAACAGGCTGCCAAGGAAGTGGTTGAGTCACCATTCCTGGAGATATTTGAGAGGCATGTGGATGTGGCACTTGGGGACATGGTTTAGTGGTGAGGCTTGGCAGTGCTGGGTTAATGGCTGGTCTGAATAATCTTTTCCACCTTAAAGGATACTATTATTTACATAACCCTGAAGCTGATTCAGTAAAAGTCAGTCTGAGACAGCTGAGAACTGACCTCTTCCATGCCTTTGATTTGCATTTTTTTTGTCTGAATTGTGAAGAGCAAAGTGTTCCTTTGCTAAGATTACCAAATTAGTTTGCAGACTTAAGTACAGGTGCCTGTCTGATTTTTAGAAGATATCATTTAAGATGTACCTCAGACATTTTTTATTAAACTCTCACTAGACTTGCACTGCAGGTTTCCTTTGCATTTATCAACAAAATGTTGATGCTTGTCTTTTGTAACCATCTGACACAAGGAGACACTAAAGATCATCATACCATTTGGCACGCTTAGGTATTAAGGAATGGGGTGGAAGTGTTTGTGCTTGAATAATTAATACAATCAAATGGTCTCAGGAAGGGGAAGCAGCAAACTAAACTACCTGAACTTTCTTCATTCATCAGATTTAATTTAACTATTTTTGCCAGAGTAATTTGCATTTCATCTCCCATCTTTTAGGCCAGCTTTATGCCTGAGTGGAGTAGGAAAGAATTTGTGTGTGGGGAGTGGTATATTATGCTGTGATTATTGTATCTCATGCAATGCAGATTGGTTTTCTCTCTAAGGTAGTTCAAAAGAAAAATGAATTAGTTTCTTTACTTAGGAAGGGTCAAATGTGTAAACAGTGCCCTTACAAGAAATGTTCCAGAAGCAGAAGTTTGCAGTATTACATGACTGTAGATCCTGGCATTGTTCTGAGAAGAAGCAGCAGTAACCTATCAAGCATTTTCCATTACCTGCTGAAACTTTGATGCCTCTTCTGTAGGAATTTAACATATTCACTGATGCTTCAGCATACAGAGGAGCACCAGAAACTGTGAACCAGTGGACTAGGCTGTTCATGAGCTGTAGCACCCAGAATCATCCTTTTAAGTAACTGCAGGTTTTCTTAGACGCAGTAAAACATACAAGACATTTGCATGTGAGGGGAGGCTCATGATGGTGAGTGGCTGTAAATCAAGTGGCCGAACACTGCACAAGGTGAATGAACCCTGGTTTCACTTTCAATAGTCTATTTATAGAGTGAGCTGGAAGGGGAAAGTGGAAGGGAAAATGGGAACGCTGCAAGTCTGTGTCAGTGCAGACTGAGTTTCCCCAAGGTCCCACAGCAGAGCAGGCAGCAACAGAGCAGGAAACTTCCCTTGTCTTCTTGCCCATGACAAGGGAAGTTTCCAACTTCCCACATGGCCTGGAAGTTTCTATTTACAGCTCAAATACCTATAGCTCACCTAGGTAGAATGGTTTTTCTCCTTTTTTAACTCCTTGAGGGATAACCACGGGAATTGCAATGCCAGCTCACTTTTTCTCTCAATGAAACAGCAGTCGGAGGCTTTACTTGCTCTGCCTGCGTGGGTGCAGCATGTTAATCCAGCACTCTTTAAAACAAAAAACCTTCCATAAATTCTTTAAAAACCTTCCATAAACGTTTCTCAACAGGGAAGCTGCAGTCAGACAGACAATGAAAGCTACGTGAGAACTGATGATGAGGAGAGCTGCTTTCGGACAGATGATGAAGAAATCTCAGCTGCGAACTTCACAGAAGAGTGGAACCAAGAGGTGCAGCGTCTCTTGACGAAAAAATCACATAACTAATTCTGAGGACTGTAGCACAGTACTTTTGTTCTAAGAGTTGTAGTTTGTAGATGTGTGTTTTTTGACAACAAGACTTTTGTTTAAAGCTAACTTATATTAGCTACATCTTCTGTAACATGGCTCATTACTGGCGAAGCAAACAGACTGACGCGCGTGCTGCTGTCACGCACGGCGGCGCTGTTAATAACTCACGTGAACCCTTTGCACATGATATTGAACCTGTTCAGTTTACAATGACAATACTGTTTATAGTTAGAAATTTGATTTCTGAATACTTTAAGATTTTAGTAGATTGGTTTACTATACACTGTACATTTTTTTTTTCCACGGGAGAAATAAAAAGCGACAATTATGCATTTAACACTGAACGATGATACTCCTGAGTGTATATATCTAGTAGCCCAAAAAACAAAGTACCAGACTATATTTGCAATTTGTTTGCAAGTCTTTAAATTAAGGCTTATACAAAATGTACTAAAATAATAATAATATAACTAATAATAATAATAAACTTCTCTAATTTAGGGCTAATGTGTAACTTAGGAATGTTTCTTTCAAAATAGTCTAACAAATCAGCCATAGAAGTTAGTGTAAATATTTTTTTTCCAAATAGATATCATATACAAAAGGTGACATTCAAATGATATAGAATCTAGTTTTTAAATCAGCACAGATCTTCTTAAAACTGTGAACTATGTTTTGAAATACTCGTTGCTAAAGCTGTTTATAAACCACAGGTGCCATAAGATCCCTGAACTGACTGATGTTACGTATAATCCTCCATGGTATTGTTTCATTGATGTTTTAGCTTTAGTCAGCATGTGTTCAACAAACCAGCTCTTTCCATCTCTCTGCCCCTCCTCTTCCTCCCTGCCCCCTAACATTATGTTATTTTCGAGGCCTTCAGCTTTAAATGTACAGGCTTAAAGTGCGCTTGCAACTGTTTCCTTTTGATTTCCGAATGTGTACTGCCTTAGCCAGCCACCAGATGTTCTGCATGCCCTCTTGGAAATGTGTGGTGAGACTCTTTCAGAGCTGGATGGAGAAATAGCGCTCAGTGACAAGCACAAGAGGAGTGGGTTCTTGCAAAAGGACAGGCATACAGTTACAGAATGTTTCGTCCAGTTTAGTATTTTTCCAGTATCAAGGCATTTCGGGAGAAAGGGGACTGACGTGGCCATTAGGCAGGGTTAGGCAGTGAGGCTGCTGGCTAAAAAGTGTTTGCTCTGCTGTGACCACAAACCTACAGATACTCCTGAGCGGGCATTGACACAAACTAGCATCAATGTGCTCCCCAGAGCACCCTGCTCCAAAACAAAGGTGGCACCTCCGTGGCACATGGCACTGCCATGCAGAGGAACCAGAGCCAGGCCAGGGACAGCTGGAGCAGCAGCAGGGCAGGGACACCAGGAGGTGTTCCATGCTGGCCACCTGAGCTGTGCAGTGTTAGCTCGGGGCCGCCTCTGTGCCAAGGTAACTTTACTGCCCTAATGCAAGACTGGGCTTCCAGTGCCTGGCTGACCTGAAGTGACACTGTCTAACAGCCCTGAACACAGTGGTGTTTCATACAGATATTTCACACCAGCACAGTTTGCCTACAGCAAGTGATGAGATACCCATCTAAAGCGGGTTACTGTGGCTTGTCTGTCCTTGCTTTCATGGTGACGTGGATGTGTGCTGCCGTGTTTACATGAGATTGCTATGTAGCTCGACCCAGTAAGTCCACTTGTTTGCATGCATTCTCCAGGCTCGTGGCTGTTTCCCTGGGCACTATGTGTTAGGGAATGAGTATCTGTATGGAAGAGCTGCTGCCATGTTTCACTTTCATATCATTTTATTTTGTATGCAGATCTCTTGTCTGTATATCCTTGCATACCTGGGCTTGCTCTCAGACATCCAAATGCATACTAAGGGATCCAGATATCTTCATGTAAGCTTTTCATTTTTGCAGTGACTGGTCTTTGCTCCTGGGTATGTGCCATCCTGGCAAGGCAGGCACCATATCCTCCACTGTCCCCTCCTCCAACCTCCTCTCAGGAATGAGTTAGCCTCCACTAGTGCCTAGCACTCCATGTTTTAAGCTACTCCAGTGAACCTGTAGACATTGCTGTCAGCTCAGGATTCCAGGCAAGCATTTCCTGAACAGGGAGAAAACAAGCTAGAACACAGCTATGTGCAATGGCTGATTAATTCAACCCATGTCATGTTTAACTGTGCCCAAAGTAATAGATCCCTCTCATCACCTTAATGTCTGCGTGCTCATTGTCACCATGCTTAAAATAGATGCACTAGCCTAAATCCAGTGCAAGAGCTTCTGGACCAGGAGTAAGAACTGAAGTTGACTAATCAAGCACCTTTCTTTTAGGCTGGTGTCAACAGGATGATCCCTTAGGAGTTCTGGGTCCCTTATGCCCTGGAGCTCTGAGATGAAGCACCTCTTACTTAGCTCTGCAAATGCCTATTTTAAGCATTTTCCCAACTGTTAAGCTGGCTGCATTTTCACCCAGCTGGTCTTTGTCTGTTTGTTGACTATTATTTTGGTTGTGGTTTGCGGTCATTAAAACAAACACAGTTACAGAAGAGGTCCCTGCTATGGCCCTTTTCTTAATTACCCATGGCCCGCCACAACCGTCAAAGCTCCGGGTGGTTTTGCTGTCACTGGAGGAAAACCAGTGGTTTGGAATCAGGAGACAGGGATGTGAAGATGTATAGGGTCCTTGAATGTCCAAAGCGAAGGTGGAGAATGGGTTGTCTGTAAGTAGTAATGTTAACTAAACTGCATAAAAAGGTGTGTGGCCTTTGTTGTGATATAATATGTATTTTCTTATATGCATGAGCCAAATTGTTGCATCATAATTTATCATAAGTGTGTCTGCCTTTACTTTCAGTCGTCACCTTCTCCCATTCTTATTGGTTCTTGGCAATTACTGTAGATAGACCTTGTAAATATTGCAACCTCGGGTTGCTGTGATCACACTGGTTCAATTCAGCAGACGGAGCTGTGAACAATAAGCACTCCACAGTGTCCTGAAGAATAAAGGGCATTTTTACCTTTGAACCAAAAAACAACAAAAAAAGTACGAAGAGTTACATCTTGAGGCTACTAACTGCAACGCATTTTTAAAACACTGTACTTGACACCACTTGAGACATGCAGAGACACTAAAAATGTCACGATATTCATTGGTATTGTAACAGAACTGCTATTGTATGGGGTTTTTGTATTGCTGTTCAGTATTGTTTTGTGTGTGTGTGTTGGAACCTACTGGGGACATGTTATATTTTGAAGTGATTAAACTATTTAATTGTGTGTCTATATTTTGGAATGGAATTATTTCTTCATTAAAAAGATTTTTAAAAGGAATTTATGGAGCATCGTATTTGTGGCTTATTTTGGTTTTCGATGTCCTGTTCTATGGAGCCCAAACAGCATTTTTTCCAGTAGAGAAGGAAAGTGTGTCCCTGTGGTCGAGCAAGTAGTCTTGTCTCCTCCACCATGTCATGACAGAAGCCCCTCCACCACCTTCCACAGCACTTTGAACTTGGTAGTGAGCAGCACCTGCTTTCAGTGGCCCAAGCAGTTTCTTCTTTCTTCCTTTCTTAATTCTCCGTATCTTTAGCAGTTTCACAGGCTGAAAATGAAGTTCCCCATCTGTAAAACACCTGCCCCTGATTGCCCTTAATAGCAATGACAATGACCATAAGCAGATGACATCAGGGCCTGACAAGGTGCCTGGTACAAACTTAGAAGGTGTACATGGTTCTCAGGAACCTAAACTTGGTTCTCAGGAACCTAAACTATCTGCAATAGTGTAATTTTTTTCTTAACCACTGTTTATCTGGCCTTAGACGGAAAAAGACATTGGAACAGGCATGTTTAAATGGCTTTACCATTCACAGTCACACGTTCTTCTGTTGCAGATGAGTACCAAGTCTGTTTTTCCAATTACACTTTAAGATGTCTTTCCTTGTAGTTGTTGGTAATTGCAACTGGTTGCTGACCTGAAAGAGCATGGAGTTGCAAAGCAAGAGTTCACACTTAAAGCAGCAAGTTTGTGTTCTGATGCAGTGCTTGGGGCTGCCTCATCGGGACGTGGCAACATCTGGAGTGGCCAGTGGTGCAGCTGGGTGTGGTGGCAGCCCTTCCCATCTGCACTGCAGCTGCTGTCCCAGAGTGTGTCACTGACATCCCAAATATCCCCAGCTGTGCACTCACAATTGTTAGCTGCCCCGTGAGCTACAGCAGGGAGGGGTCTGTTAGATGGAAAGCAGCAAACCAAAAATGCTCTCTCTGTACTTAGCCCATACCCCGGTGTGTTGGGAAGCAGATAAAGCCCAGTCTGCTGCCTCCTTCAGCCCTGGCTGCTGTGGTAACCTATAAATCACCAGGGTTTATTTGCCCTAATTCTCCTGTCTACACGTTGACATTCTTCAATAAAGATGACCATTTCACACTGTAAATTGTTTGCCAGATCTGCTGGACTTCGCCTCCACAATCCCAGTCCAAATTCATATCCACAAGACTGTAATGTATGATGACATATAAGCTCATGAGGATAACCCTGTTTTATCCATGCATAATCCCAAATTGCTGTGTTGCTTCCTAACCCACAATCAAGTCTATGGCCCCTTGGGAACAAAGGAGCCGCTGAAAACTAATTTTAAAGGCAAGGGCTGTTTTTCTCTTTGCCTCTTGGTTACTCTAACTGCTTTTTGCAAGGAAAATAGACTCATACCGGAGGAAATAAATTAGTTTCATTTGCAAAAGGAAATAAAATAGTAAATAAAAAGTAAAATATAAAATAAAATAAAATAAAATAAATAAAATAAAATAAAATAAAATAAATAAAATAAAATAAAATGTGGTCTTCAGATCTGAGTAATTGGCTCCTTAGCTGCATCGGCACTGAACTAGGGGGCTAAAAGCATCTGGAATTTCCTGGAAGCACCTGAGAGTTTCATTCAGTAGCACACAATTCTATGGCTGCTCTTCCAAAATTTGCTCAGGCCTATTGCTCAGCAGTTGTATATTCCACTGCAAGCAACCCTTAGGTCTGGGTGAAGCTTTTAAGCAACTATTGCAGGAATATGAAGCTGAGTTTATGAGAAAAATGAAATGTGTTGGGTAGGAAGAGAAATCTCTATTGTTCCACGAAGAAAAAATGTATTGAAGAATTTCATATGCCTCAGGATCATCCTGTCTAATACCCCAGATAATCTGCAGATTAAGGATTCCCATTTGCTTTCTCCTAAATTATGCCACCAGTTGAGTTGCCTGTGGATTAGGACAGCTCTCCCAAGCTGCCAGCACTGCACCATCAAGCCTTTGGCTGCAAAAGGCAGAGCAGCAGAATTAGGCTACACTTCTCCCAACCCTCCCATTGTCCAGGAAACAGGTCCCAAACTGAAGTTTTCTGAGGGCTCAAAACTCTGGAGCTTTCTAAAAAAGCTGCTTTAGGCTAGCAACCTCCTAGGACAAGGCTGAGGGATGAGGGGAATTGTGCAACCACATCATACAAAGATGGTTAATGCCTAACATAAGTTGGTTCATGCAGCTTGGAGATAATAAAGACCAAAGAGATGGATGATGTGAAAGAGTAGTTGTTTTTTTGTGTCTTGGTAGGCAATGAAGGAGGCCATGGTGCATTTTGTCATTGGTATGTGATGCTGCAGAATGTAGTTTGCAATTTAATGCAAGATCATTTACTACTAGCAAATTAATTACCTGATGGCTTGCATTTTTCACACAGCACTCAGCAGTGGCCAGGTGGCAGATGTGTCAGGCCTGCTGTGCTAATTGTCAGCCCCAAAGGCTGCCCAGCTAACACTTCTCCCCTGCTTGCTGCAGCCCAGCATTGCTGCCAGAGCCCAGCATTGCCTGCAGCCAGCAAGCTCATTCAGAGAAGAGGCACCCTCCAAGCTCGTGTCTTCACTGATTTTCTTGTTACTGCTCAGTTCAGTTTTGGTCCCTTTTGGTACATTCCTGTCAAAAAAAAAAAAAAAAAAAAAAAAAAAAAAAAAAAAAAAAACCCAGTCAGACTGCTTTCCAGCATGGGGATGTGTCTGTGCACACCTGCATTTCTCAGCTTTTGGTCTTTCAGCCCCCAGATCCCTTGCAAGCCTCCCCTAACCCCAGGCAGGGGTTCAGAGCATCCATCCCTGCTCCTCCTGCCTCCACCTCGTACATCTCAGTGTGATTTCAGGACAGGCTGCTCCTCACCCACACCAAACTTCTCCTTATGTCTTTGGTGGTGCTATTCAGCACCTCCTCGTGGAGCAGGGGCTGCTGCTCACCTGGGAAAGAAATTTCTCGCCTCTGCCGTCCTCTCCCACTTCTCATGGGAGCTGCTATGGGGCCCAGACCAAGTTTTTTCCCAGATAGGATCCCTTGTTCAGGTCAAAAAGTTCATTTTGGACACCCAAAATCCTTTTCTGGTTTCACCAAACAACCAAATGTGTTTGTACTCCAGTGATCCACAGAGTAACCTCCCCTCCTGCACCCCTCAGTGGTGCCTAGTCCAATTACACTCCTTTTTATTTCTTTTTTGCTTATTTTTGAATTGATTTTTTGCTTGTTTTGAATTGCTTATTTCACTTTATTCCTTATTCAGGCTTCTGGCAGTAGCCTTAAATCCCCCATTTTGCTCCTACACTGCTGCTATGAGTAGGAATCAGGTGCTTAACAGGTCTCTGCACTTCTCTAACATCTGCCTTCATGTGAAAGAGCAAGAGATTACATGCTCTGTAAGAAGCACTTTCATCATCATATTCATTATGTAGGTGCAATTAAACTTAGAAATCCCCCCAAGAGACCTCAGCTCTGACAAATGACCCTATTGTCCTCTCCACAAAGCAGAGAAGTTGTATTTTAGTCCTTTCACGTGGCACTGTGTGCTGTCTGGAGTGTTTTCCATTTGCTACCTATAATAGCTGCACCCTGGCTCCCAGCTCATTTGCCTGGAGACCCTCACAGCCCCCAGCCCCCAGCAGATGGGGGGGCTCAAATAATCCTGTTTGTTTCAGCTGAAAGGCTGAAGTTGGTGCAGATGGTAATTAGTACTTGAGGGAGTGCTGTTTCCAGGGAATCCTCTCGTCACTCGCTCTGAGTCACACGCTTTGTGGAGGACACTTCACCAGAAACACTTTTGCTGTTACTTTTGGATCTAAGCTCCCACAAATTAATTTTTGGAGTTCGTGTATAAATGGAAGAAGGAGGAATGCAGAACACTTTTGTAAGGTCACAATCATGAGCAATCTATGCTGACCTGTTCACCAATTAAAAACTGGGTTTGTAGAGGTTATACAAAGTCTGCACAGCTCTAGTATTGATTGTTTGTCTGGCAAAGTGATAATCAACAGAAAAATTAACTGGGTTGGACTGCAAGTTGGAATTGCCAAGGCTGATGGTGCCTGGAAGCAGAAAAATTAAACTGTTTTGTGTTTAGCTGTGGATGCCTCACTTACCCCAAAGGAAGCAAACCCTGAGGACTAAAACCCAATGAAAACCAAATCTCTGGTCGAGTGGCTGCTCAGTGGCCAGCTACTGCTTTCCTTGGGAAGCAATTCATTATTCCCCTTACATTTTGCACTGCTGGGAGTGACACATCTCATCTGCCCAGCAGCACTGCCGGGTGGCAGGTGGTTTTCCTGCCACAAGGACACAGCGGGCTCGGTCCTGCCTGGCTGGGCCATTTGGTACAGCTGAGGTACAGCAGGCAGAAATGTGCCCTAATAGCTCTCTTGAGCTGGTAGCAGGACTGCATCTGGTCAGCCCTTTACTAAAATGTGACGAATGACCATGGAGTGTTTTCCCTGGCAGCTGAAACCTTTTCCAAGATGGAAATAATGTTCATGTCTTTAGCCACCCAACAGATGAGACAGAAAAACTGGTGGCCTTGTCCAGAGAGTGTGAGCCAGCCTAATTCTGGGGTGAGGTTTCCCACCAAGCTCTGTGCTAATTCAGAAAGCAAGATCCCTTGTGTCAGATCCTTCCCCTGTCCTTTGCTATAGACTGTCTGTACTAATATCTATAATATTTATTGTCTTACCTCTGAACAAAGAACTTGGCCAATGCATTCAAAAAACTAGGGAAGGCAAGACTTGAGTTGTGTCGAGTATCTGCGTCATGGCCTGTTGCCTAGGTAGCTACATCTAGAATTCAGGGACTTGTTTCTAGGAATGATGAGCTAGGGAGATAAACAAGCTCTTTTAAGGATGCAGAAGAGAAGGGGACTTGAGTTTGGTTTGCTGTATTTACTTTGCTATGCTCATTTAGACATTGATGGTCTGATGCTGACCTAGAAACAGAGATGCCCTGTGGAAGTGTTTGCCTTGCTCCCCCAGGCAGCTCTGTGTGCCCAGCCCTGTG